CCTGATTGTGCGTTGTTTAGTGTACAGGGGGTAACAAGGGGCGATGAGCCTCTCACGACCAACTCCAGATCAGGAATCGTGAGGTCGGGAGAAAATCAAGCATGTTTGATTTTCTCCAGACCGTCGTGGGTAAATCGCTCAGTGCACAAACAAGCACTCTTCCTCTCAATCAGACAAAAACACAGAAGCATGGCGGGGGTGCAAGTGAAATGGATTTCTTTCTGTAAAATTGACAGACTGTAGTAGCCACGTTTGCTCAGCCATGTCTTTGTCCAAATACGTCATCGCCTTTTCTTTTAGGGCTTTCAACACAAAATTGCCAAGGCAGAACGTTTCACTGTGGTGAGCTTCATATTGCTCTTCTACTCATTTGGCTTCCACATAGATGAGTCCCAGTAGCAGCATCTTTCTCCGTTGCTGAGTCCGATGTGGTTTTTAGACGTACAGTGTGAGCAGGTAGATCGCATCAGAGCGTCGGGGCGCACATGCATTGTAAGCTGTGAACTCACACTGTACGACAGCTGCAGCTGCGTCCAATGACTGAAAAAATCGTACAGTGTATGCCTGGCTTTATTGTGTATTTAAAGACATGTCAATCAGAGGAAAAAAGTACAGGGGGAATATAAAAAGAATGTCTAATCAACTAAAACTTTCGCGACCCCAATTCAGTATCTCCGTGGACCCCTAGGGGTCGCGGACCCCCTGTTGAAGACCTCCGCTCTAAGGTATCAAAGTATTCATCTTTTTATTTGGTATAGGAGTATTAAAGTAGAGTGCATGATGTCTAGATCACAGGCCCTCATTGACAAAATTTTTATTTCAAAACTGGGGGTTCAACATGTTTTCTAGTAGATTTTCTCTGTTTGTTTCCTCAACTTTCACAGTGCTGTGTCCAATCACAGACCAGATTCAGTGACACATCTGATGTTTGTAAAGTGAGCCTCTCAGGAGTGACAGCCGTGACAGCCAATCACACAAAAAAAGACGGAGATCCAATCAGGAGCTTGTGGGTGGTCTAAACTCAGGGAAGCAGGTTTCAGCTTGAGCTGCGGCTTTCCGCCTGGTCCTAGAGCCAAATGAGTGTCGTGTACTGTAGCGTAACATTGCTTTTGGACAGTAAAGACTGCAGGGGACCAAAACGGACTTTTGAAGAAGTGCAGGGACCCCGCTAAAACATGACATCTCTGCAGGGCACCAATGAGTGGGGTTTGAGAAGAAGCTTCCTTTGTGGTTAAGATGAGGGAACTTCTTCAACTTAAAAGAAAAACAAAAAAACCCTGGTCTACCTCTCAACAGGTGTCCCAGTCATCTGAAGAGTTGCAAATTCCACCCTGGTTCGCTCTTGCTACCTTTAGGGTGATCATTATTCCTTACTCACCAATTAGATTCCTAAGGCTCTATGGTCCTGAAAGAGGATTTCAATCATATTATAGCTGGTATTAGGCATGCTGGGTCAGGATGGCTCCATCATCATACATAATGAGCTGTTGTTCTTTTTTTTCATGGCAAGGAAGGAAACTACTGTAACTTTCTATGTAAAGTGATATCACAGATTGAAAAACTTTTCAAATGGGTCACAATCCAAAAAAAATACTCAGGTCTTTTTACTTTTTTTATTTGGATGTTCAGTACAGTAGAAATGTGGGATGGACGTTTGGGCATTTTCCACAAGGAATGAAAAACACCAGCTTTCTATTAAGGCTTGTGTACATTGTTTTAATGCCGGCTGAATGGCAGCTGGCTCTTCATCAACAGAGACCATAAGACTGGTCTGTGGAGCTGTCTGGGCCTGCATCATTAAAATGTGCATGAAGTCACTGTGAATGTTGATTACCTACTAGAGGCCATTACACCCAATTAAAATTCTATCACAGTGGCAACGGAGGATGACGTAAATTAATTTAGCCATCACTGTAATAATTAAATCATGATTTTCAAATCCAGAAGATTATTTTAAAAAATAATTTATTGGTTTTCTGGCATCAGTCATGAACAGTTAATGTTACTTAGATCAGGAGTTTAAATATCAGATTTGACCACTTCCAGCATATTAGCTGATTGGATTTAATAATTAAAATGGATCAAGGCAGCTAAAGACCACATTGTAATGTTTTTTCAATAATTATTTTAACAAAAGACTCAGAACTGTTTTATTCTGAGCTCTATAAAACTGTAAAACCTTTTTAATTTTATGGTTACAGCAGGAAGGCTTTTATCAAAGTTTGAAATGATAAATTATTCATTTTAAAGGAAAAAAATATAACCCTCAGATAATTTTATTTCTGAACTGTACTGAACTGGGCAATTAATTATTTTGTTCTGTTTAGAGAGGAAATTTTTGATCCCTTGGAGTTCTAAGGATAAATTGGTATCGTGTTGCCCCTTCTCTACCTGCTGCTGTGCACTACTGGTTGCTTTTATACTTTTTCTATTTTTTAGACAATAAAAATGAGGCTAAATGAGCTAAATTAATTCTGTAATAAAAGTAAGACTGGAAGCTAACAGAAGCCTATCAGCCAGGCTTAAAAATGTAACATTAACAAATTAAACATGTTAACATTTTTAAGTGGATAAGAGTATTTGGAATAGTATTCTGACTACTGTATAAGAACCGATACCAGAAAATGTGGAGAATTATCAGTGGTCAATTCCTCGGGCAATATTATCATTTTGAAAATGTTTGTGTTAAATCAGGCTTTCCCTTTCCACAGCAAGGCACTAAACCTCAAGTACGGCAGCTGATCGGATGAGCATTGCTAATGTATTTGGATTGTGATGGCTGCATTTACAGCCACACAGATGTGGTAACAAATATCATTTGATATTCAGTTTCTTTTTCATATAGGGTTTCATTAACAGAGTCATTTCATTATTTGGAATTTATTTATCACCACTGAAGTGTATTTAAAATTAGTTTGCACATTCTGGTTTACCCTGTTCTGTTATGATTCTGTTTCAGTTGCTCTAGTTCCTTGATTGAGGATCCAACAGGTGGCTATACCACATCAGTGCTATTGGGGGGGGGTGGGGTTTTGCTTCATTTGGTTGAGTTAGGTTTGTGTATGTTTTGTGAACTGATCAGCCATTATTTCAGGTTTTATTTGTGTCAATAAGGCAGGGCAGCTTGTTTGAGTTAGTTCAGATTTTTTCTTTGACTTTGTACTTGTGACATTTTATCTTTTTTGGGTTTAATAAAAGAACCCTGTTTTTTTTTAAATACACCTGTGCCTGACTGTCCTTACTGCTTGGTCCATTGTTGTGTTTCCTTATGTGTGTAATCTTTACAGGACTCCACAGCTGATCAAGACAGTCCTTTTTTTTAATGACCCGGTGGTGAAAATGTTAATTAAAGAAAGGGATATGTCCAATATATATATATATATATATATATTTATTTATTTATTTTTTTTTTTATCAGAGTAGGACCTCAAAATTCAACCAGACACAGTGGCAGCATTATCAGCATTTCCCTGCTTTCGGGTGAAGGAACCTCCTCTCAAAGTCCTTAGAGAAGAAGGGTTACTAGATGTGGACTCCTCAGCAAAGCCCAGAGAGAGGCTTGGTCTGGTGGATGTGTCAATGTAGGCTTGGATCTCTTTGAGAGCAAGTGTAACAACACTCAGTGGAAAAGGAAGCTAAGGGAAGTGCAGAGACTGACTCAGTAAAAGGTTAACCATTTTGGATTTCCAAAGGAGAGACTGAGTTTGTGGTGCAGGAACATAAAGGTCCATATGAAATAAAACAGAGTTGAGGAGAAGGATCGGAAGAGTAGACGAGACTAGACGAGGCGTTGGTCAGGAGGCAGAAATAAGGTCAATGCCCAGAGTTTAATAGGCTAGACAAGAGTTCTTAGATCAACAATTCCTTTCCATGACAAAACCAAATGTAGAGATGAACCAACACATAAACGACTCAAGTTTTGTTGCGTCTCTAATCATCATGTTTAACAACACAGGGAAATATTTCTCTGAAAGATGGCCTTTTAAAAAAAAAATAGAAAGGGCTACAGAGTGAAGTTCTGGAAACAACTTGGAGAAACTGTTTGGGAAAGCCCTGCAACATGCACAGTATAAATCTAATCAGCAGAACATAGGAGTGTTTTTTAAATATGCTTAGTTTCAAATACTTGCAGCCTACTAGTGGTGTTGCAGTGAAATTACACCGTTCTTATAGTTTCTGTTTGGAGATCGCCTATTAAAATGTAATTGTTAAAAGGCAGAGACAAATAATCCAATAGCTCGTTATTCTGTGCAAAGTTCCTCAGTCACTGAAAGCAGTATTGGCCTTGCGCAAAGTGAGGTAATGTGTCATTTTTTAAATAGTCTCCAGATTTTATTCCCCCATATGAGCAGCCTAAATACAAGATATTTTTTTTTTTTATGAAAAAAATATTTTATTTAAACTAGCCTCCTACTTTGTTGATGGAGCACAGCAGAAATTAGCTGATTTGCAAATATCAGTGTTTCTTTAAACTCGGCCTTTGTCTGTTTTTTTAAGTTTTGCTTTGTGTGCTGTGTTTTGAACCTTCATGCTAAGAATAGTTAGTTGCATTTAAAAGATCCTGTCAGCAGTCTTATAAATGCACACCCTTTAGAAGGCGGAGAAAGGATTGACCTTAACAGGTTTAGTCTAAAATAGCTGGTATACAAATTAGCACTAAAGAGCACCTTTTATTTAACTTCTTTAAGAATGCTCCTGTAAACGTATAAAACCTAACCATAAATCTTCTTTAATATAAAGGGGTGTTGACAGGTTGAGTCATCTATCTTTTATCCTATTATCTCACATTGTATCTCTTGCATATTTTCACATGGGAACTAAGGAACGGAGCGTGATTTTCTCCCTGCTCTTGATCCAGCCTCTTGTTTTGTTCAATCTTACTTTGTGTGGCATTTTACAGCCTGATACTTGACTACAAAGTCTCACCCTCTCATTCCTGTTTCTCCCTTCTCTTCCCTCCCTGTCCCTTCTATCTTCCCCTTCTATGCACCCCCCTTTAGCAACAACCAAACTACTGGAGCTTCAAGGTCAGTGCCAGCATTGTGTTTGTGTTGCGGGGCAAAACTGCGCCTCTTAGAACATTTGTCTTTTAATAGGATAACTTCACTGTGTCTTTGCATGTCTGCCTGCCTCATCTCCATTGCATTTTGAGTTGGTCACATTTTTGGCACCCATTCTCTCTGGTAACTGTTTTAACTCTTGCCTGACGTGCTGCAATCATTTCACATCAGCCATGGGTCTTGTTAGCCTCATTGAAATAGGCCATTAAAGCTTTTTCTTGCACAGATTATGCTTTTGTCTAATTCTGTATCTGTATTTTTTTTACTAGCAAATCTAGCAATTTAAATGGAAATCAACCTTTTCTGACAAGTAGATTAAAGGAGTCGGTGAAATATCCACAGAATAATGACAGAACCATACCGAGAGTAACATAAAAACATTTGTTTAAGGTGGAGCTACAGGAGAGACATTGATAAATTAAATGAAAATTTTTTGTATCATTTTGATCCTCAGATGTTTTCAGAAAAAATCAACAAACTCAGACTCGTGAAAGTGTTCAGATTTTTAACAAGAATTGCATGCACTGCAATAAAATAAGTTTAAAACTAGTAAAGTAAACTAAACATTGATATATATTGTATTTGCATTTTTTGTGCTGGTTTCAAGATCCATGAAAAATCTCAAAACCAGCTCAGCTCTTATCTCTGCTAAAAATAATATGACTGGTTCATTATTTACCAACAGACTAGATGAGACGGGTAGAAACTCTGAAGGCGAAACTCCTCTGAGAATTTCTTCACTTTTAAAAATACACAGCCATACCAGTTTGATTATATATGATATAAATACTTAATACACTTATTATATGTTACTGTATGTAAAGCACTGTGCAAAAGTCTTGAGTTTTTCCCACCATTGGAGTTGGGCTCCTTTTTCCACACACTTTATGCTACTTATCTGACCATTTGAACATGCATCAGTTAAACAGTATGTGCCTAAAACTTAGGGAAAGTGTGTGAACCTTATCAAATACGTAAACTGCGTTTAAATATTTTATTGATCAAACACATTGGCCTTCATGGTAATATAGGAAAAGGCTGCTAATCAAGGGAACTTAATTTGAAAGAAATTTAGAGTAATCCAACAGTTGAATAGATTAATTAGGTTTTAATGGCTGCCCTAGTCTTGATGCATCCTAAATCATTTCACCGGGCATTTAACCCTGGTAAATTATGAATTAATGAACTCGGATTCGTTTTGCATCTGCTGCGCATGTAGCATGTTATTTTAGCACAATAAAAAAATAAAGTTGAACTAAATACGCCTCAGTTGTGAGTTTAAAGGTGTTCATCCCTCTGGGTAATTACTCTTGGGGTTTGATTCGCTGAGGATGAGCTCTGTTACACCCAGAGTGCACATGTGGAGACAGCTGTGAAAGTCAGTTATCGAGATGAGGATTTATTCATCCCCTCATCTTTTCATTGCTAATGTTAATGCAATCTTGACTCAATTACACATTTTAGTCATTGACAGAAAATGTGGGAGACGGGATGAGTTGTGTTGAGTCATCGCCAGCTTCACGCCCACTCTGCTACAGTACAAACACATGGTCTGCGTCCAGGATCTTTGAATCACTTCCATGCTTCTCAGAGTGTGGCCTATCTGAAATATACTACCGTAATTGGAAGTTAATTGTAGCAATAACAAGCAAGATCCACAGGGAAATACAGTAAAATGGGATGAGTTGATCTAAAACATCTTTGCTAAAACTGTAATTCTCTTTGGCTTCCCCCATTGATGATTTTATTGTCCACTTACTGTTAGAAACATTTAGGATTTCTGGGATGTCTAAGGATGCGCTTTTTGAAAACTTCCTAATTTTTATTAACTGAAAAGCAGCTACTTTAAACTTAAATAGCTAGATTTAACCTTTAGTTTAAAGATTATACTTAAATTCTGTGTTTTTTCTCTCAAGGTTGTTTCCTCTCAGAGCAGCAAATTGATACAAAATGAATGAAAAGTGGTTATTTATAGTTTATTTCTCCTTAACCTTGAATAAATACTTACACTCTGACCTGTTTGTTGATCTAATGTTGTAGAGTATCTGCTATCCAAAGCTCTTTCTGCAGCTTTCAGCATCTTAACCATAAAATGACTCGATACCTAAATGCTTCTTGCGGAGCTTATGCTGACACAGTGAATGTAAACTCTGCCAAAGGATTTTCTATGATGGAACAAAAAGGAAAAACTGCTGCTTTGGGATTAAATGTCATGTAAAATGTTTGGTGGAACTAACATTAAAATGTCAAAGGATGAGGCAGGATAAATAAATCTAAAGCCAGCAGTAAATGTTTCCAAGTTCCATCCTCTATATCTGTGTTCCCTACTGATTTTTTCTGTTCACCCTCATTCTCCCTGTAGCCTTCAAAATATAATCTTTTTACAGCTTGTTAAACTTAGGTCAGTGGAAGGCTATACATCAGGAAAAATGTTACCGGCATGCCAAACTTACACATACGACAAAAATGGTATCCAAGCAGTACACCGGGTTATAAAGAAAATTGGGAAAGTATTCATAGTGCTGTACTTTCTCGAAATTTAGTTGTTACAGCCTCATTCCAGATGGCATTGAAGCAATCTCTGTCCTCAAAATCCAAAGCCCCCATTATAAAAGGTAAAACATTTTAAGTTTTTTACTAATTTATCACAAAAACCTAAAGAAATCAAATGTACACAAGTATTCAGAGCCTTTGTGATCAAGCTCAAAACTGATTTGTGGTTCAAAGTGTTTCCACTAAATGTTTCTATAGTTCAAATGTAGTCCACCTGTGGAAAATTTCAGTTGATTTGAAATCACTGGGAATCAACGGGAAAGGGACACACCTGTGTTAAGGCCAGAAAACACTGAATCCGATTTTGTGTCGATCCGACAGAAAACGGTGTCAGATAAGGTTGTGACGTTTAGCGCACATTGAAAGTCAATAGACATTTTATGACATGATTTTACGCAATGGGGCTTGCATAGATCCCATTGAATTAGACAACATGTCTATTTTAGCCTGACTGCGCAGCAATTCAGCAGCAATTTCATGACTCTAACAGGAGAGACGTGGTTACAAATTAATACACATTTAGGGTAAAATACAAAATAAAATCTATTAATCGCACGGGGAAAGAGTCAGTGTTGGGGTTGCACAGAGCAAACACAGCAAGAGGGACAGAGTTGTGCAGACACTTCACTCGCATTGCCTACTGATGGTGGTCGGAGGGACTGGTGGCTCCAGTGAACGGCAGCCTTGCTTCTGTCAATGAGCCCCAGAGCAGCTGTCGACACCATGCTTGCCACCATCAGTGTATGAGAGTGTGTGTGAATGTGAGAATGACTGAATGTAGTGTCAAATGCTTTGGTCAAGTCCTCTGACTTGAAAAAGCGCTATATAAGTGCGGGCCATTTACCATTTAACCTTCTATATGTGCTACACCACTAACGATCCTGGTAAGAAGAGGATTAAGGCATGACTTATTTAGACACAATAAATCATGAAAAGCCTGATGCTAATCGATCAAGCTATAAAGCATAACTGAAGGCTTTGCTTGTTACTACTGATAGTTTTTATCTTAGGCCCACGTTTAAGCTCATCAACACACTTTTAAAATTGAGAGCAGGTAGACATTTTACTACCTAAAATGTGTGTAAAAGTTGCTAACATGATGAATGATAACAAGGTGTGTGATGGAACTGTAGCTCCTTAAAAGTATGGTAACATAGTTTCCTTTCTGTAATGGTACATTCACACAACCCCGTTTTTTTGTGTTAAAAAGGCATCCAATGCCTTAACTTAGATGCTTGCGCATTTGGATGTCAGACCCTTTGGATGTTTGCTGTTTTAGATGCTCGGCGCCCAGGATGTTAAGCTGCCGTGTTCTTTTCCTTGCAATCCAGACGTTATGCTGTTTTTACTTTGAGGAGTTAGATAAATTGTTTTAATGCATGTTTAAGCGAGATACTACCCCTCAAAATATCTTCTTTGCTGTTTGTTCAGCAGGAATAATGTCCTACTTCAACATTCTGTTCTTTTTCTGAGCAGCAGGCCCTTCAAATACTGGTATTAGTGCTGGGACTCCCTAGTGAAAGCTCTATGAAGCTAGTCATGCTGCCACTCGTAACAGCTGAAAGTTAATATGAAGCATATTTTTAGGTTCGTGTTTGCAAACTGCAAGTATCAGAATGTAAAATCAAAAATTTTTGCTATCAGGTTTTGGTATTATAGGTGTTATAAACTGTTTTGCTACAATTTAGTGAAAAATAATTTTGTGGAGCAGAAATGATTAGAGATCCATTCTCCTTTTTGATGAACAGTGGAGTTTAACCTCTTTTTAGATCCATTTTTCATAGTTTTATATTGACAGCTCTACAAAGCGATTGAGGTTTCCATGTAGTGTCTGGCTTCTGAATCAGTCTATGCAGCTGCAAATATTCAGATTTCGCAACTCCAGCGTCAGTTGCTGTAGATGCTGGAAATGCTGCAAGAGCCCCCACCTGCATCGTGCTGTTGGACGCTCCTCTGTGCCATAGACTTTGTATGTAAACCAGACGCCCTGATTCTTAAAAAGTGTTTGCTGTGAAAATATGGCCTGCAGGTTAATTTCTGAAAGCAATAGATGATATTGACAAATCTCTAATGGCTTATTGTAGTGTTTAGCTTTAAAAAAAAAAGGGTAGTAATAGAAGCTCCCTTTGTTATAACTGACAGTTTTTATCTTAGGCCGACAATAAAAATTGTAAGTTCTACAATAGCCATGACATTAGGAGGCTTTATTCATAAAGAGCAGTGTTAAAATTGCGATAATTTCAATAGAATGGATTTACTCTAAAACTAGGCTAAGTAACACAAATTGATAACATTCTGCACATAAATGATTTCAGCTTAAATAACATAAGCCGAAATATACTCTAATTTCTAAACCTATGCAGCAGGAACATATCTAGTGATGGGCAGATTTTATTGTTGTTTCAGGTATGTGA